ACAAGAAGCGAATGATGGGCTGGCGGGACCATCAGTGCTGCGGCGGCAGCCCTCTTGCCAAATCTGCTGACTTGGGAACTTCTGAGATGTCAAGCCTTTGGAAAAATACTGATTTTCTTCTTTGTTCTATTGAAAACTCCCATTGCCAAGGATTGAAAGTGACCGACAGGAATGGGAAAGGAGCAGGGGAGATCCCAGTAGGCTTCAAAGTGGACAGCAGCCCAGACCTGCCTCTGGTTGGGAAGTGTCCCCATCAGGGACAGGGGTTGAATCTCCAGCTCCCATCTTTGGGCTAATACATTTTCTGAGAAAAAAGCAACACAATGTCTGCCTGCATTGGGTACATTCTAAATATGTATTTCATGGCTGCTTTGGAGAGGAAAATATATTTATAGTTCCTTTAGTGCCATTCCAGTCTATTGTATAAATATGTAAATTAGGCTTCATGAGCTACACAGTAAAATGCCTCAGAATAATTTGTGTAAATAAATCATCTGCATATGCCCACTGCATAGTTTCCGCTGCCTTCCAGGGAGCTTTGCAACAATGATTCGGAGGAAACTTATGCACGACTAGTGAAATGACTGGGGTGGCAGGCCGTACTGGCAGAAGCTGACGGCAATGTCCTTGGGCCAACAATCGCAGACCACCCTCTCCAGGAATAGGAGGATATCTGTGCCCTAGCTGGGTGCTAACTTCATTAGCTGTCATTTAGTTCTGCATCTCCACGTTATGGCAGCAACAGGCACTGTTCAGCAGAATTTGCAGGAGCTAAAGTGAAGATATACTCAGGAGGACTGGAGGCTCCATTGCCATCTGCCCTGGACCCCCAGGCCCACCGGCCACCCTCCACATGGCAGCACTAAACTGGTGAGTGTCTTGTCTCCCAGGGACAAGGCAGCAATGTAGCTGGATAAAGAGACCTCAGGCTGAGTTGACTCCTGGGTCAAAGGGGCTGCCCGGCAAAAAGTGCCCATATCCCCAGTGCCCAGTGGGGAGGACCTCTTCATGACCGACCCCTCCTGACACAAAACAGGGCCCGTGACACCTTCAGCACGCTGCTCCCCACCTGGAGAATGTCTTGCTAAGGAGCTTTGGTGGGGAAAATGAGATGATACAGCATTTAATGTTTTGTGTAATGAGGCCTGTAATAGATGACAGCTGAGATCCAAAGCCCTCAGGTGCCGCAAGGTGTTTAAATATTGACAATCCGTAAAGTGTTGCATCTGACTCTAAGTTGCTGCTGGCCTTCGTCACAGAAGGGAGGGGCATCTTTTTCAACTCTCGATGAAAGGGATGGGTGAAGGGGGTGGGAGGTGGGCGCTGCTCTGGTGCAGTTAATGATCCAAAAGGGGAAATCGTTGGTGACCTGCTTCCAATGTCAAGTAGCAAAGCGGAAGGGAAGCAAAATCTCATTAGAAAAGCCGGCGTCCTTGTGTTCAGTTTCTTGTCATGTGTTGGCTCCCCGTGAGTCAGTTTCCACATTCTGGGCCATCCCTGCTGAGTTCAGACCTCCAGCTGACTTGGACAGCATCTCCATGTTTGGGCAAGCCCCTCTGAGGCATGGGGCTCAGTGTGAAGCTCCAGCCTACATGCCAATTTGTTATTCTCACCGCCTGCTGGACTCCCCGAAGCTGCACGTCTAACCCACAGGCGTCCTATTCCCTTCATTACGGCAGACGGATGAGCACAGGATAACCCGAGGAGAAAGTAAACGGCTCCCCAGGCAAGCCTGAGAACCGGCACCTTATCACTGCTTGGAACATGCCAGGGTGCAATCATAGAGTCAAGATGCTAGGCCTGGGAGCCTGTGTCTGGCCGATGCTGTTACATCCCCACCGGCGGGGCTCCGACAAAGACACATGGGTACACTTGACCCAACAGGCTGAGGAGGTCATTCATGGCTTTTTAAGTTGTTATTTTAAACTGAAGTGATCATTCTGAGATACTTGTAGAGTCCTAAGCTGCTGTAAGAGGCAATACAGAGAGAGTCCATGTACCTTGACCCAGTTTCCCCCAATGGTGACACCTTGCAAAGCTGCACTCCAATTCTACAACCAGGATGTAGCAGGGACACAGTCGAGATGCATAGCATTTCCTGTCAGAGCCACACAAGTCCACTGGCATCCTCAGTCTGTGATCAGAGAGACAGGCACTAAGGTGGAAGGAGACTGCTGAGCAAGACTCTTCTGTAGCTTTCTAAGGCAGGCTTCTTAATCCGCTCTTGGTGCTATGGGCCCCTTGGGCAATCTGTTAGCTCTCAAAGATACCTTCGCAGAATGGTTTTAGATGCACAAAGTAAAATGAAAAGGAAATCAGTGCTATTAGTTAGGCTTGCAATCATTTGGAGGCACCTGGCCGTTCCTGGTAACCTTGGTCGTCTCCTGGTAACTCTAAGTGTGGATTATGGTCGGTTTCCTCTGCACTGCTGAGCTAGCTACATGGTTCTTTGGAAAATACGTGGAGAGTGGAGTTTAGCTGACCTGTGACCACTGTTATCCCAAGGCAACTCAGCAGTCTACACTTCATGGACTCATTAGACAACAAGGTCTAGCAGAGACGCTAGAAATGACTATAATCTCAAAGTCATGACAAGTCTAAACAATATCATAAAATAACTGCAGTGGCTGGGAAGTCATCTCAAAGTACTCATGATTTCTATTGCTGAGTCACAGGTCCTACAATTACGGAGTCAGTAGGTCTGGGATAGAGCTGGAGAATTTGCAATTTTTTTTGAGTTGGAGTCTCACTCTGTCACCCAGACTGGAGTGCAGTGGCCGCTCCTGGCCACCGCAGCCTCGACCTGCTGGGCTCCGGCGATCCTTCTGCCTCAGCCTTCCAAGTAGCTGGAACTACAGGCATGCACTACCACGTCCAGTTCATTTTTTGATTTATTGTAGAGATGAGGTCTCGCCTGCCCAGGCGGGTCTCGAACACGCAGGCTCAGGCAATCCACTCACCTCAGCCTCCCAAGGCGTGGGATTACAGGCTGAGCCACCGAGCCCGGCTCCTGCAATTACTTATGTGGTTTCTCATCTACTGTGATGGGTTACATTTCGTCCCTGCCCCCCTGCTGCAAATTCATAAGTTAGAGTTCTAACTCCCAAGTCCCCAGAATAACCTTATTTGAAAACAGGGTTACTGCAGATATAATTAGTTAGGATGAGGTCATGCTGGAGTAGGTAGGCCCTAATCCAATATGAATGGAGTCCTTACAAAAAGGGGAAATTTGGACACCAGAGACATATACACACGGGAGATCACCAGGTGAAGATGAAGCCAAACATCTACCTACCAAGGAACCCCAAGGATTGCCAGTAACCTCCAGAAGCTGAGAGAGGGGCACGAAGCAAATTCTCCCTCACAAGCCTCAGAAGGAACCAACATTGTTGGCCTCTTGACCTTGGACTTCTGGCCTCCAGAACCGTTAGGCAATAAACTTCTGTTGTTTAAGTCGCCCAGTACATGGTACTGTGCTATGGCAGCTCTTGCAAACTAATACACCGACATTCTTAGTGAAAGGAAATGCTAAATTTCAGCAAGAGGTTGGTGAAAAGAATACGCATCTTTTTCCCATCCAAGTTCAATCTCCTAAACTCTATCTATGAACCCCTTGGGGGGCTGAAAGAGTTAACTATGCCATCTAAATTTGACAGAAAAATGTTTGAATGGTTCCCTTAAACAAGGGCAGCTCCCAGCCACTGGCCTGCCTCTCTTGGCCTCCGCAACCCCTCAATTTGGGCCCAGAGCCCACTAGGACCTTTTATTCACAGCTCTTATTGACTTTCAGTGCTCTTGAACCAGATGTCCTCAAGAAAGAGCTGGTTGGCTGTCCTAGGGGCCACCTGCCACCTGCGTTCAGAGGAATGGGCAGGGCAGTGACCACAGAAGGCCCCTGCCAAGCTTCCATCCTCCACCTGTGGGACTGTCCATTCCCAGAAGAGGACAAATGCTTTGTCAACAGAGATCATCAGGATCCCCTAGGCCGGCAAGCCTGAAATTTTGAGTTCTTGAGCCAAAGAAAATTTCAGGTTGCCTTGAAGTAGAAATTCTTAGATCTTATGAACTAGGGCTCTCCTTAGAAGTTTCTAGAAGGCACTTCTAACTAGTAATCTTTCAGAAGCAATTTGGTGGGGAAGGAGGGAATGGACGTCGTTGACACGGTGATGGATATAGCTTTTGGGATCTTTCTTCTTGTCTAATAGCCTCCTTAAATATTAGACTAAAGCAATTCCTAGCACAGCAGTCCATCTGGTGGGAGCGGGGGTGACAGTCTGCTTCCTGAACGCATCCCTGGCACATCACATATTTTCATGCTCAGATGTTCATGATTAACTGTGCAACCATCTGAAGGTCAGAAAGAAGCTGCTCCATGTTCTCTATGTGTGGTGATACCCTCTAGCTCCAAGCAGTAATATCCGATGCAGCCCATCAGAAATTCACTTTCCAATAATGTCCATCCTTAGTTATTAAAGTTGAGTGGAAGGAAGGAAGGGTGAAAAAAAGTTCTTTAGGTGAATAGGGCTGGAAATGGTTCTTAGACCTCATTTTCAGAAGCATAAAAAATGAAGCAAATGATGTGTCGGTTTTGCTCTTAATAAGAATATTCATATTATCAGGAATAAGCATGACTCTTTCCCTCTCAGTTGCAAACGTTTAGGACCCTGAGATGAGTCCCTGAAAACACTCCTGGATCTCACTGATGAGTTGGAAATGTCTTTCGGCGTCCCTAAGTTCTCATCCACCTATTTCTAAGAATGACAATTATTGTCCTCCTAAGTAAGCGCCACGTGCCTAAAACATATTGAGTCGAATGCCCTTAAAGTTAATAGCACAGTTGTGACTATGAAAACTGAAAGGAGGAGAGAAATGAGCCTCTTCTTTCAACAGAACTGCCCTCCTTACCTCAGCTTTGTGGGGGAAAGGCTGAAAGAGAACATGGCCAGAGGCTCTGAAACTGAGACTTTGAGGAATGTCACCATTTCTTTCACTGCCCCTACCTGAGGGCCGGGCCTCTATGACATAGCCTGTGGTAGGTGTGTTGCCAGCGTGCCCCTCGGTCCACTGCAGGGTCAGTTCGGAGACAGACTTGGTGACCAGAACGTCTCTAGGGGATCCTGGGGACCCTGTGAGAGAAAGGAGAAAAGAGAGGGTTGGCCTTGGCATTCGGGGGCCTGTCATCCCACAGGGTGAGATGTCATGGTGTGGGGTCAGATCCATCAGGGCTGCTGTGTCTCCGGGCAGGTTCTTTAACCCCACCCAGCCACGATTTTTCACCTTAAAAACAGGGAGGCTCTCAGAGGCCTGGAAGAGACAAAGCATGCAGGGCACCCAGCACCATGCCCAGGACTCAGCAGTGCTCCCCACACATTGTTCTGCTCCCATACCCGTGTGTGTTTACACAAAGGCCAAGAGACTAGTCTACGTGGGAAGTTACATGATCCCTCTCCACGACAGGGGAAAGCTTAAAAATGTTCTTGTTAGTTTTATTTCAAATAGCAAATTCACTCCTTTTCCTCTTACGCTTTTGCAGAAACCAAAACTTTACGTGCTTAGCACCTGAGAATTTTATCATCTACGTGTAACGAGGCCACCTGCAGAAGTTCACATGAACACGTGCTTTTGAAGACTTCCGTGTGGCCCTGACATCCCCGAGTTGATGCCAGCAGAGGTGCCAATACTGCTTTGCTGAGAGTGTCGACAGACCCCACAGATACTAATAATAATACCAATGTTTATACTAATACTAATACTTGAGTTACATCTGATGCCCAGCCATCTGCCCCTGTAGTTCCACTTACCTTCGGCTGGCCCGGCCGTGACATTGGCCTGGAGCTCGGGTCCATAGGTGATGGTCCGCGCTTGCACACGAAAAAAATAGGTAACTCCCTTGGTGAGGTCCCGCACCTTCAGCCAGCGCTGCCAGTTCCCTCTCACTTCCACGGTCACCACCTTGCTCACCCCTGGAGCCACCGGAAGCAAAGGAAAGAAAGGGGCTCAGCTTAGAGAAGCTATTGAGTGCTGTCTGCTCTGTTGCGATAACAAGGGACACGGTCCCCACAGTTTGCTAAGGAAGTATTTCTTACAATTAGGAGGAGTGTGTGTGGTGATAATGGCCAATTTTCAGCACAGATAAGTGTAATTAGAGCTTAAGCTTGATAAGTGGGTGCTGACAAAGAACGAAAGCTTACAACACAAAGCGGGGGCAGCTCACTAATGACACCAAGAAGGAGAGGGAGCACTTGCCAGTGGGCACAGAGGGGAGAGGGTCAGGTTCCCTAGAGGCTCCTCTGGGAGGGGCCCTTTCCCAGGGCTTTGAGATGTCCAAAGTCCTGTGTCACTCGTATGGTGACTGTGAGCTCTCTGACACAAGGGAGAGGAGTCACAAGGGAGAGGAGAGCATGAAAGAGACGCAGGAAGACACTCAAGTTAGGTAGACCCCATGGCTTTCTGCAGTCTGACTGGCTTGGCCAACCTGTGGCCTACGGGCCTCAACTGACTCCTCAGAATGTCGCCTGTGAACCTTGGAGAAAGAATGAGGAAACATTTATTTGTCATCACAAATGTTAATGCCTCAATTCAGAGAATGATGACAACAGAGAGACAAAAGTTCTCATACTGATATATGCAAATGAGTGAATAATGCAAAAGTCTTGCTGGATGTATCAAGCAAATATAGAAAACTGAGATTTAACGTTTTGGGAGGAGGACAAATATTGAAATTACACAAATGTAGCAATTTCCAGGAGGAAAAATGAGGTTCTTTGATTAAATACATTTGAAAATGATGCATTCAAAAAAAAAAGTTAAATTCTCTACTTCAGGACTTCTCAGAACTTTCAATAGACCAACATTTCTCAGGCATCTCTGGAAGAAGAATATAAGACGGGGCATTTCTAAGACTTATTGGTCATCAGAACTTGCTCTCCTCAGAGCCCTGTTGAGAAGCGCTGAACTGGGCAGGCGGTGGACCTGTTCTGGGTCCAGCTGCCTGGCCCTTCCCTCCGACACTCCAGCACACAGGCCTCCCACACAGCTCCCGCAGGAGGGGCCGTACTCAGTGGGGGAGAGTGGGGTGGGGGCGTCAGCACCAGTAACACCACGGAGGCTTGACCAGAACAGAGTGACTTTTTACTACAAAATGGATCCATCTTTCAAAGTCATCAAAGCAAGCTTCTCTAATCCTAAAGGTCTCCAAAATTCCTTCTAGATGGTTCACTATTTTCAATTATGCCTTTTATACAATATTTATTCAGCTAAATTATTTTCTTCCAAATTGTTTCAGAGGACTTTTCACTACTTATGAGTAGCCCTCCAAACTTCCGTTTTTCTGCAGAGAAATGAGGCATTTCTGCCCAGAGAGTCTGACCTGACCTTCCATTGCTCAAGGATGAGGTGACAAGGGGGACAATTCATCTACACAGTGACTGCCATCAGCAAACATACTGAGTCCTGTCCAGTGTAAAGTTATTCTAGATAGCAGTTCTTTTGCTGTTGTTGTTGTTGTTAAAAATGCCTTCGTTCTCCCTGGAGCAAAAACAAACCCGTGTACGAACTTTACAGATTCTATCCCACCAGGAGGCAGAGCCAGCTGGCCTTGTCCCTATCCCAAGTGTCTCAGAATTTTATTTATTTAATCAGTGTTTAATTCATGCCCTGTACTACAAAGCCTCAGGGTGCAAACCCATAAAATACCACCATTTAAAACATTTTTAAAAACGTAAAAATAGCTCTGCCATAAAATCAGATTCCCAAGGACACGGTTCAGTGCACAAGTGTCCTGATGCTCCAGGTGGCCTGGTTCTTTTGGTGGCATGGATGGCATGGTGCTTCAGGTGACATGGTACTCCGGGTGGTGTTGTACTCTGGGTAGCCTTCAGGTGACAAGGTGCTCTGGGTGGCCTCATGCCCTGGATTACCTAGTGTCACAAGTGGCATGGTGCTTTGGGTGACATAGTACTTCGGGTGATGTGGTGCTCCAGGTGGCCTGGTTCTCTGGGTTGCCTAGCGTCATGGGTGGTATGGTGCTCTTGGTGGCCTTGTGCTCTGGATTGCCTAGTATCACGAGTGGCATGGTGCTTTGGGTGACATAGTCTCTGGGTGATGTGGTGCTCCAGGTGACCTGGTGTTCTGGGTGGTGTGGTGCTCCTGGGGTCTTCCAGGAGTGGTCCCTACAGTGACAGGGGATGGCCAGGCATGCCCACAGGCTCTGTCCAGCACACGGTATGAGTGTGAGTCAATGTGTTCCCGATGCAGTGATCTCAGGGACTGCAGGTACAGGGTAAATGCCATGCTGTCTGCTCCTGGCCTGACTGATCCATGCGGGGCCAGGAACTCGCAGGTGTCTGTCCCAGGCTTGGCCCTGGTTCTGGGTGACGAGGCATGAAAACAGGTCTGAGCCTTCACCAACAGTGAGATTGTTCTGTTTTTCACTATTCTTACCAAAGTTTAAAAGATTTTGTCCCCAAAATATGCTTTAAGTAGGCAGCAATTCACACACACACATAGACACAGACACACACACATAAACACACACCATTTAACATTTCCTGGGCAACCTTCACAAAAGAACCACCATCTCCACAGAGAGTAAATACCATTCTAGCCCAAAGTAAGAATGCCAGATGTTTTTACTACATTTGCAACCACGTCTCTGGGAAATGTCCAGATTCTATGAGGCATTTAAAATACTCAAACCAGGTAAAGGGGTGAAGGAGATGAGCTGGTGAAGAGGGGACCAAAGTGAGGCCCAAGCTGTACTTGTACGATGACCATTTGTATACCTAACCCTGGATTGCACCCTTCTTTAAAATAAAAATTAAAAAAATAAAAATACTGAACATTGTTTGGCGGTCTGGATATTACTTTCGTGGTTCCCTACTGGAAATCCTGGGTCCAACAGTGAAGGGGGTGAGGGTCGGGTTTCTTCAGGAGACCCTTCCACTCACAGGCACATCTGACCCCTGGGGTCCTCTGTCTTCCAGCCAGTGGCCGAAAGGCAGGAGACAGATAGCAGTGCAGTGTCTCTGGGTGAGAAGGGAAGAGGCTGAACCAGGTATGGAGACGTGAGGTGGGATGAGCTGGCCAGGACAGCGGATGATGTGACCTCCACCAGGTGCAGGAAACCATTCTTTTTCCGATCATTGCCTTAGGTTCAACCACCCTTTCCCTGGACCACAACTCCACCCCACATGCTGTGATCCTTTTCAGTTCTATCACAGCATCCCCCTAAAGTCAATGGAAAGCCCACCTCCTCCCTTCACCAGCCGCAGCTGGTCCAAATGCTCAGAAACGCCTACGGCACAGAGTAGTCACAAGGACAAGTATTTCCTGTGCTATATTTCTGCAAGAGCTGATTCTCTCTGAAATGTGCTGTCAGCTAGGAGAGAAAATGCAAAGAATGGGGGATTTAGAGTTAGTCCTAAGTCTTCCACTTACTCCCTGCATGATGCATGTGAGCTCTGCACAGTCCTCAGTTCCTTCTTCTGCTCCGAGGTTGGTAGCACCCACCCCAAGGAGATGAGTCAGAGGACCCTGGCTCTGATTATGGTTTGAGAACACATCAAATAATGGGTGCTTCATGATTTGCATGGAGTCCTCACCTGCCTTGCGTCTTATGAAATGCTGTGCATCAAACTTCTCCAAACCTGAGGGCTCAAGACATCACCATTTAACTTGGCTCATGGTCCTGCCAGGCAGTCCTTTGCTGGGCTGGCTGGACTGGCCGGCATGGGGCTCAGTGGGTCTGCTGTCACACGGTGGGTCTCGCTGGGGGTTGGCTGGCCCCAGGTGGCCTCCCTCACATGCCTGGCCATTGGTGGCTATCACCCTGCAGGCCAGCTCAGGTGTGTTCACATGGTGACTGGGTCCCAAGGACAACGGGAGAACCAGGATGCCTCTCCCCAGCTGCAATTGCTTTTGAATCTTTTGCCCTCATGATGGTTATTGTCCCACTGGCCAAAGCAGTCTCTTGGCCAGTGCAGAGTCAGTGTGAGAGGACACTGCTAACAGGCCTGGACCCAGGAGGCATGAGCAGTCGAGACCTCCCTTCTACCACCTTCTACCCACCTGTCGGGAACCTTCATTAGCAGCCACTGCTCTGGTTCTGGGTAAGATATCCTCATTACAAGTTGACTTCACTGAGTCTGATTTGCATCCTCTCTGGGCCTAGGTTCTTCTTTTGGCCTGTATGGCTGTAGGACGTGACTAGCCAAACAGGCCTGGGGCTGGTGTCCACCAAGCCAAGGTTCTTGAAGATACTGTCAGCCAAGGCAGGCAAGCAGCAAGATCCTGAGATGATCTGCTGGCATTCGAGGTGAGCAAGCCTCCTCCAGATGGCCACCAGGTCCACCAGGGTGCTGCTAGGAAGCAGGGTCGGTGAGTCCCGCTCAGAGGGAGAAGCCAGGAGGGAGTCTGAGGTAGCCTTACCCTCGCTGGAGCCGGGACAGAGCTGTTGGGGTACAGGGGGCCTAAAATGGGGGAACACTCCAGCAGAGGACCCTTGGCTTGGTAAGATGCTTAGAGGCAGCTCTGCAAAGCCATCAGGTGGGGGCTTGATATAGCTTGGATGTGTGTCCCCTCTAAATCGCACGTTGAAATGTGATCTTCATTGTTGGAGGTGGGGCCTAGTGGCAGGTGACTGGGCTATGGTGGGCGATGCGAATTCTCATGAATGGCTCGGTGCTGTTCTCAAGGTAACAAGTGAGTTCTCACTCTATTAGATCACACACACACACTAAATAATCAGTGAGAACTGATTATTTAGATGAGCCCAGCACCTCCTCTCTCTCCCTTGTTCCCTCTCCACCTTCTGCCATGACTGTAAGTTTCCTGAGGCCTCACCAGAAGCCCAGCAATGCAACACCATGAGTCAAATAAACCTCTTTCCTTTATAAATTACCAACCCTCAGGTGTTTCTTTTAGCAACACAAGACAGACCGATACAGGGCTGGACACTTTCTGTCACCAGCCTGCTGGGCAGCTCATGCCCAGATCAGCCACTTGACAGATGCACAGGAGTCAGGAAGTCTGGGATGTCTCCAGGCTTACAACGAGTCAAGATGTGGGGTCTGGAGGGTTTGATTTTGGGCACTCTGGGTGACCTGACAAAGAGTTTCTGCTGAGATCTGGGAGTTCTCTCAGAGTGCAGAACCAGTGAGGAGGACAGACAGCGGGAGCACTCTTCCCTCCTCTCACTTTAATTTCAGAGCATGCTACACTCACTGCAAAGCCAGAAAAATACTGTCTGAAAGAGCCAGCCCTTCTCGACAGACACAGGAGACAATGCCAGTGACGGACGGCCTTATTACTTGTGAGAAGAGGTGAAAATGGTTGCGACTGAAGTGACTCTATCTGTTGTCACCCAGGGGAGTGACAGGCCCACACTTGGCTGTGCAGTCACAATTTGTCTGTAATATAAAATGCTGTTACGAGTCCGACTCTCCTCATGCCCGTCTTTGAAGTTCGCCTTCATGTTTACGTTCAGAAACACGAGTGCTCTGGATGTTTTCTCCTTGTCATCAAGCAGTTTAGACCTTGGCTCTTGAATCAGAACACCTGGGTTCAAATCCCATTGCTTTTCACCATTCTGAAAACGCAGGCCTTGGACAAATGTCTTGGCGGCTTGAAGCCCAGTGTCTTTGTGAAATGAGAATAAAAGCAGCAGCCATGACGTAGAGCCGTTCTGAGGATTTAGGGGTAATGGATATTGAGTGCTTAGCACAGCGTCTGATTTGTAGTGAGCATTCAACAAACATCACCTGTCGCTGCTGTTACACCTGGGGGGGCCACATGGATACGGAGCCCACAGAAAGCTCGTGTGAGTGAAACATGCTTAACATGAGTGTCTAAAACAGAGTCTTCCAAACACTCTTTGAGTTTCCTGGTGATGTAAACGTTGCCATGAAAGTGAACAAGAAACTGCAACACTGCAACACAAGAGAAACCTGATGTGTAGTCACCTCCTTGGGAGACTGAGCTGGGAAGGTTCTGTTAGAAGCCCAGAAGCAATTCTAGGAGTGCAAGTGCAGAGGAAGGAGATCACAAAGCACGTCAAGTCCCCATGCGGCACTTCCGAGTGGGTGATGAGCCACGGAATCGTTAAGTGTGGCCGCTCAGAAGACACGCCCAGAGTTGCATGCCATGGGTTTCCAGAGATTCTGCAAACTCTCTGACACAGACGACTGGGTGGCAGAATCCACCACTTATTTGAGGATGAATGGGAAAATTCTAGCTGTCTGTGATTAGGAAGGATTCGTAGGACAATCAGAACCACGATGCTTTGAGAATCCTTTCTTGTTTGCTTCTAGTTGGTTAATATCCTTGAAGAGGCATTTGTAACATGAGCTCATAGAACCCGTGTGTGTGTGTGTGTGTGTGTGTGTGTGTGTGTGTGTGTGTGTGTGTGTGCACGCATCAGGGAAAGGGAGGGAATGCTGGTGGGCAAATTGGAAGGTCTCTGAAAATTCTCTGCTGTTTCTCCTGTGGAATGAGCAAGAACAATGGGCCTGTCTCCTGAGCTTCTGCTGTGGGTCCCTCAAAAGCAGCGACCTCCAAGGCCTCCTGGCCCCTGGCAGGCACTGGGTTCCAAAAAGAACACAACAGAGCATGGGCCACACAAAATCCAGCCACTGCTGTGCCCTCTATGCAGTTTGTAAAACCATGCTCATTTCTCACCCCTCCCCCTCCCATTATTTACCAAGGCTCATCGATTGACTAAGACACACTTTTGTTTATTTCTCACACTTTCACATCTCTGACTGAGAATTCAGCTCAGAATTGATGATACAAACGTATTGGGCCATAGTTTATTAGAAGCATTTTTTCTTTCTTAGCACTTCATAAAATAATGATGAATCTTATAGTCAATGGCATCTTAGACTCAAGAAAATAAAATCTAATGCTCAAATTTTCTTCTTCAAATCAACTCCCTGTTTTATATAAATGTGCTTATTTTAACAGGAAACTTTTTATCACTGCTTTAAATGTAGAGCCAATATTATTTGATGTGCTAGTTGTATTTTTTTCCTCGTAGACATTAGATAATCTATAATTTTTACAGTCTGTCTGTGTATATTACAGGGGGAAATCTGCCCTGGACCATTGGGCAGAGACAGCTGGACTTGTCTTCAGCCCACAATGGGGTGAGAAAAAAATGTCCACTGAACCTTCTGGGGACATGGTGGTGTCTATGTGGCAGGAGAGGTGGACACAGAAGGAATTAAAACAATACTAGAGACAAGTGACATAAGCAGCAGGTACAGGAGCGATGCTGTGTGAATGACAGGAAACTGCTCACCCCGACATCCCGTCCTTGCCTTTGCGGCAGAAGATGGCTCCACCATCAAAACACCCCTAATCCACCCCTTCTCACCTGCCCACCGCCCTTCCCCCAGGCCCCCGTAGGACACAGTTCTTCTCACTCTGAGCGCCTGTGGGACCCCTGCAGCCCACTGTCCCTGGAGCCATCTGAATTTTCCTCTTCTGTTTTCATCTGTCATTCATTTCCAAGCCTTTGTCATCTCTTCTCTCAAACTTCTCTGTGTTGAGACAGTTTCTCTGCTGGTCTCTGGAGGGCCTGTCTCTGATTGATCTAGGAAGTGCTGAGGTGATCAATAATCTTCTTTTCGTCCCATGGCATTTAGACTGAGGTGATAGCCAGCAGGGCCCTGGTCTTGGGGAAGTCAGATCTCTTGCTCCTCCCCTCCTGAGGGTAATCCACCATAGCCCCACATGCTGGCCCTGTGGATACACTCGCCGCTCGTGGAGCTTTGGCCATGGCACAGCTCTGAGCCCAGCCTACCTCAGGGCCTCTGCATTTGCTAAGCCTCCAGTAGGAGACTCTTTCCTTGGGTTTTGCGCCCCTGTGTTCTTGCCACTTACACTTTCCTACACCTCTGGTGAAATCCCTACTCTCTTTTCTTCACAGCACTGGCCAGATTTTTGTTTGCTGGTTTAATTACTCGTGTGCTGCCTCGCTCTCCACTGGAATATGAATTTGGATCTTGATAACAAGCCAGTCAAGATCCTTGTCTTCCCAGGTCCATAGAGTTCAGCATCCGGACCAGTGCTTGGCAGACAACAGATGCGTGGTAAGTATCTGCTGAGTGAATGAGTGAATGGAGGGCAGCCCCCGGGCACTCCCCAAGATGCAGGGCTGCCACCCTCCTTGGGTGCTGAGGGTATCCGCAGGGACCCGTTGCCGGATGTGGCTCCAAGTGGAACTTAGTGTAGTCTACGTCAGCGACCATAGAGCAAATATCTCAGAGGGATAGGAGAGAACTGTCTCGAGTATTAGGTGGAGGGAGGAATGCGACCTGGTTCTGTAAAGAAACTCTTGTCCTGGACTTAGGGCACAGAGTCTGGACTTGGCCCAGCCTTTTCTTCACAGGCTCCTTCCAGTAAGTCCCTTCACCTTCTGAGTTCCCAGAAGGCTTTTCGCCTGAAGACAAGCCAGGTGCACCTTGCCTTGTAGGCTGTGGAGTGCTAGGCACACAGGAGGCCCGCCCTCCCATCTCTCCTGGTCTTACCTTGAACAGGTGCCAAGGGCTCATACACCACGCGATAGCCCTGCAGGATGCCGTTGGCTGCTGCTGGCTCGCCCCAGGAAACATTGAGTGTGGTGGAGGTTATTTCTGAGAATGCCAAAAAGCTGGGGGGCCCGGGAGCTGGAAGGAAAGAACACAAAGCAACTTTTACTAAGACTCCTTTATAGATCATATACATACATGTCTGTGCCTCCATATCGAATAAAAAACGTTATTAGATGTTATTTTCAACTCAGTAAAGTCCAAATGCCATAAAATGAAAAGATTTATCGATCACCTCAGAACTTCCTAGGATCAATCAGAAACACAGACCCTCCTGAGAAGAGCAGAGAAAATGACAGTGTTGAAACACAAAGGAGCTCGAGAGACGAAATGACAAAGGCATAAAAATGAATAATAGAAACAGAAAATGAAATTCGGAGAGCTCCATCTTCTAGAAACTACTGAAGGATTGTGGAGGCTCTTGTCCTGCTCTTTTGGGGAGAGGTGGAGTTCAGTGATGGATAAAGTCCCTCTTCTCCCCTCCCGTGGATGCCTGGTATCTCAGGACACTCCCTGGCTCCTATATCGGAACTCTCCCAGGACACTGTTGGCTCCGAGTCCCCTCTGGGTCTAGAGGGGAAGAGGCTCACCAAGACGTCTCGAGCCGCAGAGGCCCCGTGTGTGGCCAGGGGGACACCAAACCTGCTCTTGGCTCCCCCTCTGCCTGGGCTCCTTGAAAGCTGGGGCTGCCTCTACCAGATGCCTGGGTGAACCCAGTCTCCTCCACTCCGGTGCCCAGAAGTACCGTGGGCTGACGCCCACTCTCCCCCTCTCTGCTCTGCCTTCAGTCTCTGGGTCCCCTAGCCTGAGACCTGCCAGGCCCAGAGGGTTGGATGCGGCCCCACCCCCTCCCTCTCTCTGCCCCACAGGTCTGTCCACATCCTTCCAGCTCAGATTCCAAAACCAGGCCCCTCGGAGTGCTGGGAGAAGCCCAAAGGAAGCAGTCCTGGCAGCCTGGTCATAGTCAGCACATGAGAGTGTGCTGCTGAGGAGCCCTGACTCCAGGAGTGAACCACTGGGGGATGGGGGGTGGGGTTGTACTTCCACTTAGCCAAATGTCAGGAAGCCCCGAGCCCTGAGTCCCTGCCCCGCAGCACCCAAACCTCACTCTCCTAGCCTTAGACTTCCAGAATCCTACAAAAGTCCCAAGAGTTTCCAGGATCCAAGGCCACGCTGCTGTTTCTTTGGGACGCCCAGGCCGCTTCTTGACATTCTACAGTCCACCAGGAAACTACTGGATGGGCTGGAAGACAGGTCTGCTCAAAGCACACGCTGTGACCCGGGCGTGGAGATGAGGCGATAGCAGGGCGGCCCTATCTTCACAGTTCCTGGTCACACTCTTGGAACTAGCCTTCAGTGTGCATCTGGGGAGCTGTTTCCATGGTGGCTGGTGGCCCTGAAGCCCAGGGTGACACCTGGTGGTGTGGCCTGGCCTCCAGGCCTGGGGAGCTAAACCCTAGGGATATAGACACACTGTGAGGTGACCCTGAGGAGAAGTATCTCAGAGGAACTGGAGCCAGTCGCCTTGACTGTGGCTGAGACTGTACTGCAGACACCCTTCCTCCCCTCTGTGATCCTTGGGGGCTCCTGAAACAAAAATGTGCTGCCCCCTCCTGCCTAACATTTATTTGGTGCCACCATGTACAAGGCAGAGGCCGGGCCTGGGGAAGCCAGATGAATCAGGCCTAGTCCTGCCTCTCCAGAAATGCTCATCTACCCAGCGTGAGGCAGGTAACAGCTCAGGTAGAGCAAAGAGCCCGTTGAAACTGAAAGGCAGGGCGTTCCATTCTGCCTGGGCGGGCTGGGACCACTGGGGAGGGAGCGTGGTTGGTGCTCTCAAAATGTGCCTCCACAAGGCCTGTGAAAAGGGAAACAGCTGTCCTCTTACCGGCCTGGTGGGTGCGCCCCTGTCTGGGGTCACTCTTGGGCCCGTCTCCAGCGGCATTGAAGGCCGAGATGCTGACCAGGTACTTGGTGTGGCTGGTCAGGTTCTTTAGCTTCACTGCAGGCTCGGGCAGGAAGAGCACCTTCATCTTCTCCGTTTCATTCTGGCTATCTGCCTCCCAGTAGTAAATCTGTCAGGAAGAGCGAGAGGTAGAGGTGCGCCCTGCGGAAGCCTTCTGGGAAAGACAGCCCCTTAGCACTGGGTCAGACTGAGAGGGTGGGAAGGTCCCAGTGAGCCATGGGGGAGGGAGGTGGGGTGGCACCTTCCTCGAGGAGTTGAGGGGCAGCTGAGGCTCTGCAGGGTGGACGGAGATCCCCAGCCAATATTGTCTGGAAGTCGATGTCTAGCGTCTCCCTACTACTCATCTAGCAATTGTGCGCTGCCTCATTAAGCAAAGCACTCTTCAAGGTGGGGTCTCAGGACAGAAGCGATGCTTCCCTGCAGCGATGTGTGTGCCCTTTCTTGCAGACCTAGCTCTGTGGGTGCCCGTAAGCCTCTCCCCTTCCCCCGTTTTCTGGAGAGAAGAAAAACCACCCAGTGTCTGCCCCCTGCTCTGACCTGTCAAGAACAAGCCCCCAACTTCTACCCTGTGATCCCACAGTTTTGTCCAAAGCCAACATTGACATTTTTATCAATGTGGCAAAACTACTTTGGAAATGAAAGCAACCAAAAATACTGGGCAGGAGAACTGTGTTGGGCTCAGACTACTGGGAAAGCTTCTGTTTCTCCTGTGTGCTGTTTCCTCTGTCTAGCTTGTATGGGCTTGCAGTTGAACCTGATGCCCAAGTACAAAGGTTTAAAGAGGTGGCCAGAATTGCTTCCCTAAACAGTTGGCTGAGAACCACTGCCCTGGCCGGTGCCAGCTAGGCTACCCAAAGACAACACTGGTCGGAAGATCTACCTTGGCTCGGTGGGCCTAAATGTGAGCCAGGCTGTGAGAGGGGCTTACCCATGTGTGAGAGTGGCACAGAGGCTATGGGGAAGTCCTGCCTCTCACCTTCCATATGTCTCACTCATGATACGACAGACCCTGACAGGTGAACGTTGCTAATTTCCACCTGCAGGATGCAGTTGGGCTTCTCACTGAACTGCCTGTTTACCATACTCCGCTCACCCAGGCCTTGCTAACTTGAGATCAATATCCAAGTTTAATGTCTTCATCATTAAGGAAATTAGAAAACATATTTTGGACATACATAAATAGCACCTTGCCTCCAGGCTCATGGGGCTTCCCATTACCTCATTAATCATTGTAACAGCCCTGCCATGGAGGAAGGTATTAATTTTCATAAAACACCTGCGAAAATCATTTTTAAATGGACATTTAATTGGTCCAATAGCCATCAGGGCAGGCTAGCCCATAGAATGTGATGACTGATCAACTCAGGCTCCAATGGACTAGACAAGGAAATTAATTCCAGAGGAAGGTGGGGCATTTTCATGGAATGCAACAGGGTTGTTTTCTGTAGGCTAGTTTTAGCTGATGTCAAGGGCCCCTGAGCTCTCTGAGCAGGTGAGATCTTAGGGACAGGACGCAGCAAGGGGCCTCCTCCCCCAGAATAAGCCAATCCTGTGAAATTACTCCTTTCTGGACACTGCATTTCTATGGCCTGTAGCCTTTCTTTCACCCCATCTATAGCATTGAGCTAATGTGGACGCCTAACACTTTAGTGTGGTGGTTTGTTTCTCAAAGCGGGGTTCCCAAGAACCACAGCACCTCGGGCCTTGTGAGAAAAGCAATTCATGGGCCCTGCCCCAGACGTGTTGCATCAGGGGATTCTCTCAATGTTCATTTGTGACCCAAGGGCAGGGCTACGAGGGAGAACCAGTTCTTTCCAGGATACCCCATCTTCTTCAAGCAAATATCCTGGGGGCTCCAGCATGGGCTCAGGAGAGGAAGGGCTGCCCGGTCAGGCCATGGAGGATGGAGGGGGAGAGGCCAGTGGATGAGCGAGGCCTCTTGACCTGGGTGGTTTTGTGGTAGGCACAAACCAGCTGCAAGAGAACCCACCCCCACCCCGCCCTCCACCCGCAGACCCCCAAGCAGCTGCTGTCTAGCTGAGGGCCCCTCGCTCTCCAGGCTGAGCGTCTGCTGTGTGTCTGCCACTGAGGGCAGGACAGAGTGAGCCAGGGGCTGCCGGCTGGAGCGGGGCCAGAATTCCAGCTGAAGCCCTCAGGGTCTCAGGGGACAGAGGTGGCTTATCCCGGGCACACAAGTGAACTGGAAGAAAGGGCCAGCCATGCGAGAGAGTATTGCCTTGTAGCCCTGAATGTTCCCATTCTGGCTCTCTGGGGGCGGTGGGTCCCACGTGACCTCCAGCTGGCTGGCCGTGAGTGGGGTCACTTGCACGTTCTGCGGTGCCATCGCTGGGGCTGAGGAAAGAACAACACAAGAGAGTACCTAAGACGTTGTTCAGAGCTGGCCAGGACCTTAACTCACACACCCATGGGGCATGCACACAAGAGTAACTAAAACTTCCATCCAGGACCTGCTGGGACATTCACCCACATACCCATGAGGCTCGCACATGAAAATAACTGAGACCTTGGTTCAGGGCCAGCTGGGACCACTCACAAACTCACAGGGCTCACACACGAAAATACCTGACATTTCTGTCTAGGGCTGGTTAGGACCGTCATCCACACACTCACAAGGCTTGCACATGAAAATAACTAGGACCTCTGTCCAGGGTCAGCCGGCACCCTCACCCACACCCATGGGGTGTGCACACAAGAGTAGCTAAGACCTCAGGTCAGGGCCAGCCAGGACCCTCACCCCCACCTATGAGGCTTGCATACGTCCTAATGCTACAGTGAAGTGCCTGTGGGTCGTCGCCCTGGAGGGGAGGCCTTGGCTGCAAACACATTGGGGTCCATGGCTCTGTGCCCCTGCAAGAGCTCTTAGCTGTTTTATGCCAGAGAAGACTGCAAACCTTTTCCAGAAGAACATTCTTATATGCATAAAATAAAATACATAGAATTACAAAGAAAAACAGTTATATTGAGATACAGCTAGCAAAGTATAGGAGATCAAAAGTACGAGATAGTAACCTGAGTGCTTCTTTGTTAATACATGACACAGACTTAGGAGCTGGTCTGTGAGATCAAAGCACTGAGGGATAAAGATGTTAACCTGAGATCCCAGCAACACCAGGAATGTGGCAGGGGACACCTGTGGGCTCTGCTGTGAGAGAACCACAGTACTGCTGACTGCTGTGGTTTGTTCCCAATGTTCCTGATTGAGGTTAGAGGAAATAAAGCTATCTGTGTTCCCACCACAAGTTCAGGCTTGCCGAGTGAGGAAGCCCTGTTCTAGAAGAAGTTCGTCTGGACACCCACAGCTGCCTCCTCCAAGAGGATGTTCTCAGCTGTCTGAGAACATCACTCCATGCTGGGAACCAAGTCCTCATCCTATCCCTTTCCTCCCCACAGGAAGAGCTCACTGTGTCAGCAGGACCACCGTGCATGTGCAGAAGCTGAGAGACAAGTGATGAGGATGGCATGACAGCCCAGTCAGTGGGGAGTTGAGAACACTGCAGAAAGCACACGGTTGCATTCTAGAACATTTCTATCTAGGTTGTGCCAGCTTCACACCATCTTTGGATTCTATGCTGGGCACTTTCTCACAATAGCCTGTTCGCTGCCTGGAGCTATGCCCTCTTTCCACCTGGGCTCTCCTGGCTGACATCTGGGCAGGCTGATTTCCACAGGCTTGTCCAGGGGACTGGCTCTGGGAGGCAGAGGCCAGCAGAGCCCTTCTCTTCTCCTGTGGCCCAGAAGCACTGCCTTTGGAGTCACATTTGCTGATAGACCATCAGTGGAGACAATAAAACAGTCATTGTCTGAGGGTGATGGCCCAGCACCTCAGCTCTCAGGAGAGGCGTTCTCAGGCAAGAATGACCTCATGAGTCACCCTTCCCCATCTCCCCCTCCCCACTTTCTGCTTTCTCCCCCCAACGTAGAATAAAATAGTAATTAACACCCACTCAGCCTGACACCAACTATTTATTTTGTTCTAACTGTGTGGTTTCCATATTATCACTGCCCACCCTGCCGTTAATGGAAATGTTAATAACCCACACCAGGTTGTTGTGACAGATGCTCAGCCTCATTATCAGAAATTCTTATTTACCGCTCCATTAAACAACAGAATCACACAAAAAAACAATTCAATCAAAACTAACTGGAGGAATTTTAACAGCCACATTAATAATCCAAAACATAAATAAAGTTAATGTCTTTTGCATGTTTGCCATCGGCAACTCTATTGCAAAATTACTGTCATACAATTAAAATGTGAAAGGCAAAATTGAGCATGGCCATTACCCTGGTAGTCAGCGAGAGACCCCCTCCACACCCCCGGGTTTCCTTTCCAAAAACATGGCCAAACTCGGTGCCCAGGACAGCTCTGTGCTCGAATATCCATCTGTAGGAACCAGCGGAATCCAGGAGCTCCGGGAAAACCCCCAGAAGTCAGGCCCATGTGACCCTTCGCTAGACGAGGCCCCTGGCCCTGTCTGGGCAGCTGAGCCACACTGCTGTTCCCAGGTGGAGATGCTTCCCTGTGCCCGCCAGCCAGGCTGCAGCCAGCACTTCTGTGCCATGAAAACACGGCAGGCAGCAAAGCATTTTTTTGTTGATGACAAAAGTGGGGGAGAGAGAAATACGTGTAAACACGGAGCAAAGTGTGCCGGTGTCGAGACTTCTTTTTTGGATCATGAAAGCCGCCGGGTCTCCACCTGACAGGAGGACTTGACCTTCAGGAAGGCCCTGCTGTTTGTGATCCCCAGTGCATTCTTGTTCTTCCTAAAGCGCCTACCATTTGGGAGCTGGTGAAGCATCTGACAAATCCTTATCTTTGTGTCCCCACTAGAACACGTGTGGTGAAAGGATGACACAAATATCAGCTTGAGATGTTTTCTTAAAAAGCATGAAATTATTTTTTAAAAGCATTTTAGACTTGCACTTTGGCATCAGCTGATGTATAGATTGCCTACACACAGCACAGAAGGGTGGCATGAAAGGCTAAGGTGCAGCGCTGGGATCTTCTCTGGGTGTCACGTGAAGGCTGATGATGTCATCATAGACTATGGCTCATGGTCCTCAGTATGGTTGCTCCTGCACCCCTGCCCAGAGCTGTCGTGGCCTTGAAGAGAGGGGCCTCTGGACTTCAGGGACTTCTGGAACCATCTGCACCTGGCAGCCACCATGAAATTCCCGAGATTTCTGAAAATTCCCGTGATTACTTAGGGAGGCCTGCACAGTGGGGTGACGTGGGTGAGTGGGCTGCAGTGTGGCTCTCCCGGGGCCTGTTGCCTCTGCCAGAAAGGGGTGGGCAAGCCCCCTAGGGCAGCAAGCGCAGTTCTACTGCTCCCTTACCCACTGCTGAGGTGGCCAGCAAGCTTCAGCTGGATCAGCAGCAGCCCTTGGAGACAGTGGCCATCCCTGACTCAGTCTAATTTTCTGGTGAGTAGAGAGTGCCAGCACACTGCCTCCAACTTCATGTCCCCCAGACTCAGGGTAAACCTGGACCCTGCAAGGCAGCCCAGGCTGTAGGCCGTCTCACTTGAGAGTTTAAGAACCCCTGCTACCAGGTGAGGTTACTGGACAGGCATCTGGTAGAGCAGTAGAGGCTTGAGAGCACAGAGATGCTTCAGAGCTGTGGGAATGATGGACTCTACAGGGCTTATGCTGTCCAGTCATGCAGTCCTTGGCTCACTCATTCAAAATACTGGCTGCTCTCAGGCAGGAGGGTCCATCCATCTGATCTGTGGGCTGTGGCTGTGTGACTGATGGTTGCCTCTCCTGAGGGAGGACTCACATTTCCCCTCCAGTTTGACCACAAGACTCCCTTTGGCCAATGACATGGGAGTAGAAGCGACAGAAGCCGAAGCAACATGGCTACTTCCCAGCTGAAGCTTCCGGAGAGCCATGCGCCCTGCTACCTCCTCTTGTCTTATGGCCTCAAAGCCACCTAGCCCTAACCAGGGTGGAGCCTTTGGGCCGAGTCCTGGACAGAAGACTGTTGGAAGCAAAATAGATGTAGCAACCTTGGAGGACAGGTAGCATGAAAGACATGAGCACTGCTGGTGTAAAAGCTCCTTACCACAGCTTTACTCTCCTGGCATCTTCCTGAATATTTACCAGGCCCCAGGCCTGCAGCTCAGGGGTAGGTGGATATAAAGTGTAAAAGACAAGTTGAACAAGGGAGATAAATCACAATAATCACAACACAAGGCAGAATGTGTGGAGAGGGTCAAAAGCTGGGAGAGACCACTTCTGGCTGGGGAAACAGGGACGTTTCCTGGAAGACAGAACATCTGGCTGGCTCTTAAATGATGGGGAGGTTTTATGGACCAGGGGAGTGAGGGCACTGCTGATGGAGAAACGGAAGGAGAGAGAGTAGAGAGGTGAGGACATGGGGCATCTGCTGGTCACTCCAGATAGATGGTCATCCTATTGCTAGAGCCACCTTAGGCCACACCCAGCTACACAACAACACTCAGCTGTCACTAAGTCACCCTACGTCATGCTGGGCACCTGCCATTTCTAGAGCCACCCTAAGCTATGACGGACATCTGCTGTTGCCAGAGTCACACTGAGCTGTGGGGATGACGGACACTACAGGGTGTGTGCTGTCCAGTCATGCTGTTGCTAGAGCCAGGTTAGACTGTGATAGGCCATACTAGGATTTGCAATTACCCAGTGATTCATTATTTGGGTAGAGCAAGGCTTTAACTGATAATTTGAGAATAATTGCTAATGTTTTAATATAATGAAATAAGTGTTTCTTTATATGATTTTTAAGAAGTATACATTCATCAGCTTGCTTTAATGACATCAACATTTTCCTAATCAAATGCTCTTTCTGATGTCCTGCTGAACTAAGTAGGAAATAGAATTTTCTGATCTAATTTGCCTTCTCAGCAAAGTTTGCCAACACATCTGTTGCCGTAAGCAGGGATATCAGGAGACATACTCCAGGTCTGGGTAATTATTTAGCCTCTGAGCCTTCTCAATGCATAAAAGAGGTTTAAGTGGACAATCCTGCATCCACTCAGTTGGGGACAAGTAAAACTTGGAGAAAGAGAGCAGTGACTCAACGCATAGGTGCAAAACACAAGGAAGGGGCAGCGTCTGAGCAGACGAGCCACGAAGCACAGGGCCTTCACATCAGGTAAGTGCACAACTCTAGAACAAAGGACACAAGGCCCAGCACAGCCTAGCTGGTCCCAGCAGCCGTGGGCCCTGCCCTCCTGGAATGTCAGACCCCTAAAAGAGTATCTCGGGTGATAGAACTAAAAAAAAACCCAAAACAACTTACAACAGAAAATTCAAAGTGAGAATGCCATATTTTATAAAGTTGTGATGGA